CAGCGACAGCCTCTGCCGCGGGCGAGCGGAGCGGGACCCCTGGTGTTAACCCTGGCCGGGGGGAGAAGGACGGCTGATGTGGGGGCTCATTTTTGGAGAGCAGGGCCTGTATCTGGCTGCCCCGCAGCCAACTGGCACCCCAAACCCTCCTGCCGTTGCTCGGTCCCCACCAGGAACGTGCCTGCAGGCGTGGACCCCGCCAACCGTCCCCACCGTGCCCTGCACCGAGTCGGGGATGTCCAGCGTGTTTTGGGGAGCAGCTGGACGCTTCACCACGCTGGAGACAAGGCCGAGCTCGGCTGCTTTCCTTGTACAGCCGTGCAGGCGAGCCTGCGCCCTCCTTGTCCAGCTGTCACGGGGCAAAATAATTTGCCGTTCACGGAATAATATCCCACTAGTAGTGAGGGAGAGGGTGGGAGCGGGGTGGGCTGGGGATGAGCATCTCCCCGTCGCGGCGGGGAGCGGGACTGAGGCGTTGTTCATTTTAGAACAGGGCAGGGGCGCGGAGGTGGCGAGACGGGAGCACTAAATCGCTACCGTGCATGTTTTCTCCTTGCTAATACAATCGCCAAGTACGGCACCGCTTTGCCTCCTCCTCCTCCCGGCATCTCCCGGGACCGCGCGCCTCCGGACATCACAAAACCACTCTCCAGCTTGTCGATGAGATTTGAGGGTACGGAAGAAGGACCGGGGCCAAAATTTTGGCCTTGAATATCCCGGCGCGGTTTTAGGAGATCTCGGAAGCCAGTTTGAGGTTTGGACGCTGGCCCCGTGTGCTGGGGGAGAGAAGAGATCGAGTCCCAGTGTTCTTCAGGTGTCCTAAGGGACGTTGTCACACGGCTGCCACCAAACCTGTCCCCATCTTGGCTCGCTGCATCCGAGGCCAGCGAGGACCCATCGCCGCTTGCCCTCCACAGCGAGCCCTTTGGGGCACAACCCCAGCTTTTAAATAATAATAATAATCTGGAGACCTTCTCATGTAATATATGTTCACAGGGCCTTTTTCTGGGAGGAAACGTATGTGACTGAATGTATATGTATATACGTCTGCTTCCTTTCCCCCTCCCCAAATAAATATTCATTGGTAACTCAGCTTTGGCCCTACAACGTGCGTCGGGCTGGAACTCCCGGGCCCGGGGGCTGCCGTTCCTCCTCCCCCATGATGTTCGAGCCTCGGCTTCGCTTTGGGGCAGGGAGAGGGAGATATTTAGGCCGGAGAGAAGGGGGGGGAGGACATGCGTCCCAGCTCCTCGCTGAACCCCAGCGGCGTTAACCCTGCAGCGGGGCACGTTCGCGGCTTCAACTGTGAATTATCCGTCCCGACGCTCCGGCCCCATTTATCCCTGGATCCGGGAGAAATTCCCGGTCTAGACAAGGAATAAACAGCCCCGGGGCCAGCCCCCAGCGGCACCCACCTTCCCCACCGACCCTCCCTCGCCTTTTGGGTAAAAGGGTCTACTGAAGTATGTAATAATTAAGAGAGGACTTAAAGAGAATTAAAAGAGGAATTTTTCTGGCCATAAAATACTGCTTTCACCAGTCATCAGCTTGATTTGAAACAATAAACTTCAAGGATCTCAACAGTAACGACACAAGTTTATCAGAGAGGTTACAAATTCCAGTTCTTCATGGGACTTGGAAAACTGGAGCATGTTTCAGAAATCAAGATCTACAGCAGCCTTAATTTTCAGATAAATATTTAAGAGTTAATTTTTAAACATTTCAACAATGAAAAACTGTGGGTTTAGAAGCAGTTTTGGAACAAACCTCAATCTTGTTTGGGGATTTTTTTTCAGCTATTCCATGTGCATGTTATACATAATACAAAAATACAGTCACAGATGAATAGTAAGGATTATTATTCTTGAAAAGTATACACATTGTAGACCCCTGATATACAGCCAGATTTGGATAACCTTATTTATAGAAGTTTCCATTTACTCCTCTACCAAAAAACCTGAAACCAAGTACAGGGCAAATAAACACGGAAAGACGCATTTAGCATTTCTCATGAAACAACTGAAAACAGATGCACCAACAACTACAGGAATCTGAATAAAAATGCCATCATTTTGCTCAGACTAAACTGTAATTTCGATTTTACAAACATACACACAATTACATTTTCACGTTAATTAACTACTTCTAGTACAAGTGTAGAACAAAACATCAAATACTACAATTACCACAGCTCCAGACGGAGTTTTTAGTGTTTCAGTCACATCTTGACACAACTATCCAAAGTGCAATCTTGTCAAAATCCATAAAACCAGGGTCTCCCCCGCCTCCTCTGAACAGTCTAGAGGCATCTTTTAGTCACTTCATTTGGG